TGAAACATTAGTGGTCAATTTCTACTTACAGCTTACCAACTCCTTATGGGCTATTTAAAGTCAAAACATATTTTAAATTGTAGGAATCATTTTTTAATATTTTTTAGCATGGGATAATTCAATAATAACAATGATTTTTCCACATCCAAAGTACTAATTTCAGTTGTGCTTATTTCTTTAAATTGTAATTTTCCTTCTAAACAGTTCTTTTAAAACAATTAACAGAGTAATACATCTTGGGAAAATCATTTTTTATACCAAGATCATCCACTAAGGAGGATCTCTGATTTTTTTTTTTTTTTACTAATAGTAATACTAACCAGAAGTCCATGGCTAGTAGTCCCTATTTTTACATTTCTAGAAAGATAAAACCAAGAAAATAATCACTTAAAAAAATAAAAATGTTTAAAGATTTCAGCTCATGAAATTTTTTTTAAGACAATTCTGTTTGTGTTGTGTTGGAATCTTTATAAAACTTTTTTATTCAGCTGAGATTAATCTTTATGGAAATGTAAAAATTTGCAAATTAAACATTTTTTTTAGGAAAATTTAGTCGTGAAAATATTGGTGACTATTGCAAAAATAATAACATTTTCTTTTTTTCCACTATATTGTTTGTTTTAAAATAAAAAAAAAAACTATTCATTATAAAAGTAAATAATTAATGAATAGGAACTGGAATTTTCATTTAAATTGTATGATTCACTGATTTTTGGTAATTTAAAAAAATCATTGTCTTTTTCCCACTAATTTTCCTTTGAAGGTCCTCTCATTTATATGTTACAAATTAAACTAAGTATAATTGACTATTAAAGGATGAAAAATTTTGCAAATTTTGTTGTTATTCTAGTGTGTGTTTTTCCTCAAATCTTTGAATTTGTTTTTAAAATTCGCTATTTTTAATCTGTAATGTTGAGTGTGTTAAAATTGTATTTATTTTCAATTTTTCTAGTTGAATTGTCCATCTATATTGGATATGATCCATTCTTGTACATAATTAGGTTACAATAAAATTTGTATTTTATATGAATACTACTTTATGAAAATTGAGACATAATAGAGTGGGGGGGAAGGAAAGAGAATATAAATGAATAGACTGCAAAAATTATTTCACAAAATTCTTTCAAAAACTTTTGAAACTACCAGCATCTCTCATTCATGGACATGTCTAGTCACAACAATGTCAACAAACCCAGTCCAATGAAGTCATAATGGATGAAACGTGTCACAGATAATCTTTTTCCATCTTTTCTTATAATTTCCTCAATATATATATATATATATATATATATATATATATATATATATAAAGCTCAGAAGGTGCTGATCACAGACTAGAATTTATGGCAAAAAATATTCGAAAACATTTTCAAAGAATCTATAAGAAAATTGATTTTTTGTGTTAATTGTACATTCAAATTGAATATCATTAAGTAAAATAGAATTAAAGACAACACCATAGAAAACTCAAGGTCAACTACTTTAAAGTTTTTGCTTCATTTTGTTTTCTTTTCTGTTTAAATAATAAAACATTTTCACACTTAGATTATAACAGACTGTTCTTATCATTAGAACAGAATAAAGTGAGAAGCATCACAAATCAACCAAGTTAGCAATTTACGTTTTTTCCATTCCACCTCTGCTAACAACATTTGAAGTTTAACACCTCTGAAGGTGACAATGAATATTTTTTGTTTCGCTTTATCATCATAACTATCTTTTTATTTCTCTTCACATTCCTTTAATCTGTTAATTACATTTTTTTAATTAATTGTTTAAATTACTGTACTTTGATTGGCTTTCTTCATTTCTGTTGTGTGTTAAAATTCCTGTTTTTGAGAGCTTCTGCTTTGTATATACTTGTTTGTACTTACCTGACTTTCTGTTTACTTCCCTGAAGAATGTGCAATAATTCCCTCTCTACAAACATATTTACCTTGAAATTCACCTTCTTGTCAAACAATATAGTGTGAAAATACAGATTGGGTAGAAATATATTGGTTTTCTCTCACATTGAACAATTTTGTCTGTCTCTCTGACTATTGTATAATGATTATTCTTATTGGCTCTCACTCACTCAAATTTTATAATGTTAATTAATCTTATTGACGTGCTATTATATTGTATAATGCTGAGTATTCTCAAATAATATTCTGATTTCGACATTTATCAAACTCAAGTGTTCCACCCAACTGTGGAATGTTAAAAATTGCTAAATTAAAACAATTAAATTATATATATGTTAAGTCATATTAGGTTGGTAGATTTTATATGTAAACCATTTCTGGATTACTAATTAATTTCAGATTTTATATATCATTTTTTTATATATACTACATATTAGGTTTTCAGACATGAAATGACACATTTTTCGGTTGGTTATTGATCCGGTCATCTGACAAAGTAAGCTCCTTAGTATATAAACAAGTTTTGACTTATTCCTGACTCTTTTTCTTTCCAGATAATTTTTCTTTCAATATATTGTTACTCATACATAAGCCCAATGAAATTATGCATTTTTGGTTGGTTGTTAGTATATAAAAAAATCTTGTCTTATTCCTGAGTCTTTTTCTTTCCAGATATTGTTACTCATAAGCGCAATGAAAATGATTACAATGGAACAATGTCAAGTAATCTTACTGTATGAGTACAAAATGGGAAAAAGAATCATTTTAGCACCAAATCATTATATACAATGAGAAATGGATACTCTTTGACAACAGTAAGAGAGTAGACCAGTGGTTAGATGCAAGTGAATCACCAAAACAATACCCAAAACCTCCACTGCACCCTAAAAAGTTAATAGTTACTGTATGGTAGTCTTTTAAAAGGGTTATTCATTATTGCTTCAAGGGAAAACAATAACAGCAACCTCATATTATGGAGAAATTGAGTGTATACTAAAAAAATTGAGAAAGAAACATCCTAGACTTGTAAATAGGAATGGCTCAATTTTGCTGCATGACACAGTCGCACGCTTCTCAATCAACTGTCCAAAAGCTGCATAATTATAAAATTTTGCCTCATCCTCCATATTCACCTGGTATCTCTCTTACTGATTATCACTTATTTAAGCATTTTGAGCTTTTCATATGCAATAAAACATTCTCCAATAAGGTAGAGGTAATCAAAGTGTTTGAATTGTTTATCAGATCAAAGGATGAGAAGTTTTTAAAGATGGGATCAAGAATTTCGAGGTACATTGGAGAACAGTCATTCATCAACATGGTGCCTATTTCAACTAAATAAATTGGTTATTTCACATTTCGGAAGCATTTTATTCATTTCCTATAAAGTGTGTCATTTCATTTGTAACAACTTAATATAACAAAGATATATATATAATATATATATATATATATATATATATATATATATATAGACTGTACAGTGATCAAAATATATAAATTGACTTCACACACACACATATATATATGTATATATATATATAGAAAGAGAGAGAGAGAAAGAGAGAGGGAGAGAGAGAGTGATAAAATAATAAAAAAATAATAAAAAATGTTTAATTATTTAAATTACTGTACTTTGATTGGCTTTCTTTATTTCTATTGTGTGTTAAAATTCCATACCTAGAAAAAATCAAGAAGTCAATAATAAAACTTATTTGTCTGTAAATCCAGCTCTGTGCCTGTACAGTCTAGAAAAACAACAATTTTGATCACTGTACAGTCTAGAAAAACAGCAATTTTAATCACTGTACAGTCCAAAACAAGCAACAATTTTGATCCCTGTGCAGTCCAGAAAAGCATACATCCCAGAAAGACAACAAAGATAATAATCTAAAATAATAAATATGGAATAAGAGCAATATATTGTTAGAAATAAAAATAAAATATGATCCCTTCTGGATAAATCTATTATTTTTGTGATAAGATCAATAATTTCAAACCTTCTAATTTGATTCTTAGTGATATCAAATATTTAAGACATTTTAGAAATATAACCTAATAAGGAGATTGGTTTGTGATTTTCTATTTGATGTCAGTATTTAAATGAATCTGGTGTTCAGACTACTATAAGACAAAAAGCAAGCACTACCAGCAAAATCAGTTTTGTACAGATTTCAAGCAGTGCCTCTGGGTGTGTTTTTTTTTTCAAAAATTAAATCCTATTGCATTGAAAATTTCTTCTTTACTTTATCATGGGAAAAATCATTCAGTAACTATTTATGCACTGTCACACACTACTGAAATGAATATGGCTTTTTGATATATTGTCTACTATAAAATGGTCAAGTAGCACCAAACAAGGTCTTTGAATCTTCCTAGCCTTTAATTACAAATCAGGAACCTTTGAACAAAACATTTTATTGCAATCAGGATAAAAAAAGAAAAGAAAAAAACTTGGAAGTCATAAAAATGTCCCAAAAATATGGTTGCTGATTATGCCAAAGAATAAACCCAGTTCTTTGATCAGAAAAGTAACACTAAAATTCTATCCATTAATAATCTTCATAAATGAAGATTAATGGATGATTAATAAAATATTAAAGTCAGAACTATCAACCCAAATGAAGATTTCTTTCAACTAGGCATGATCTTTTATAAGATTTTCTTCATGGTCTAAAATTTTGACACAAAGTCAACTCATGTAGAACATCAGACAAGTATTTTTATTACATATTCTTAGGTGCTTAATATAAATGGGGATCTTAATAATCTGGGGGAATTTCTTTTCAATAATTAATAAGCAGGGAGGTTAAAGTCAGTTGAAAAATCATTTAAAGAATCAAAAGTTTAAGCAAAGAAATGTTTTTCTGTGTGATTCTTAATAATTGAGGAGGTTGGAATTTCTATCAATATTAAATAAAGGGTGATCTTAATAAAAGGGTGGGCCAGAAAATCATTTAAAGAGCCAAACATTTTGAATTTAACTAAAGAAATTTTTTTTTAAAGAACATTAAGTTTATCAAAGAATGGCATATTTTAATGTTTTCCCAATCAGCTTGTTATTAACCAAAAGATGTTGCTAAAATTTTCAAGATATATTTACATTAAATATTGATCTATCTATCTATCTATCTATCTATCTATCTATCTATCTATCTATCTATCTATCTATCTATCTGTTGTATCTTGTGTTTTTGAGATAACAGAGAGAAATAAATAAGGAAAACAAATTCATAGGTAAATAATGAAATAGAAGGGTTACTACACAAAGGTACACTTAACAATGGACCTAATGCTAACTCCGCTTATTTACATAAACAGACGATTCCATTCATTTATGTCCTATATGACACTATCTATAGATTAATTCTATATATATCTAAAGATAGATAGATATATCTATCCATAAATATATATAGAATAAATATGAATAAAAGCTTGTCACTTAGCTGACTGATGTTACCTTCAACATCCCAACACCAGTGTTTCATAGACGAACATCTTCAGCCACGCTTCAGAAGTTTACTGCTTATATTTTTTTGTTTTTTTCTTTTTATACACTTATCTCTGGTTTAAGTTTCTTTTTCATAAAATTAAGCTCTTGATAATATATTTCAATTGAGTACTTTTGAGAGACAGCCTAATTCTACAAACAGCAGACACCTCCACTAAAACGCAAAGCTCTTTGGTAAAATGAATGTGAGCACTCTGACTGACTGGCGTTTGTTTACATTCATAAAAACAGCAAGCTAGAATTAGCAGTTTCTCTCTGCCGAGTGCTGATGGCTTAAGGTTAGAAACTCCAACTGACACCAAATTGGTTGGGTTTCTATCCCGGCTTGAGGCTTTTGGACATCTAATCACACTGAGGAGCTGTGATACAGTGAAACAGTACTGTCTGCAAATGGCATATATAGATAGATAGATTTGTATTTTTTGGTGTGGTTCTTAATAATTGGGGAAGATGGAATTTTTCTCAATATGTGCTAATGTGGATCTTAATAATAGGGTAGGTCAGAAAATCATTGAAAGGGCCAAACATTTAGAAAGTAAGTAAAGAAACGTTTTTATTAATAAAAAAAAAGAATCATTAGATTTATCAAAGAATGGAATGTGGTACTTTGAGAGAGAATAGAAAAGAACAATGGAACTTTAGTTTTGAAAGAAAAACAATGGAACAGAATCTTTCAAAATGTATCATCAGAAAAGCATAAAAGTCAAAAATCTAACCAAATATAATAATGATAAAATTTCTATCAATAAATGAAGATTAATGGTTGCTTAATAAAATATGCAATGCAAATGAAGATTTCTTTCAACTTGGCATGATCTTTTTAAAAATTTTCTTCATGGTCTAAAATTTTGGCACAAAATATGCAACATCAGACAAGTATTTTTGTTACATATTCACAGGTGCCTAATACAAGGGGGATTTTTTTCACTAATTAATAAATGGAAGCTCTTTATAAAAGGAGGGTTGAAAAATCACATAAAGGGTAAAAAGTTTAGAATTTATATAAAGAATTTAAAAACAAAACAAAATGTTAATTATATCAAAGAATGAAATGTAGTCATTCAAACAAAAAGTAAAATTGAAGTTTATTTTTTAAATAATGCAATGGAACAGAATGCTTCAACACATCTCATCATAAAAACTTGAACCGATTATAAAAATTAATAGCTTCTTGTTTCAGCTCTGTGAAAAAGTAAAAAATTAATAAATGGGATCCAATTAATAAGCTTTTCCTAAAAAAATTAAACATTCCTCTTCTATTTATAGTCAGACTATTGTCTTCATCTTTGTTGTCATTATCAAAATGTTTCGGCCATTATACCCTCCAGCCTTCATCAGGTTTATATCAATCTGGGTAACCTACAGGGAATTCTGAACAGAACCTGTTCTCTTTATGGAAATTCGGACATAAATTTCTCTTAATTCCTCTTCAGGGATAGAATGGGCTCTGTAGTATAATATAAAGTGTGGTTCTTAATAACTGAGGAGGCCAGAATTTTTCTCAATATCAAATAAATGGGGATCTTAAGTGGGTCAGTGTTGAGTTGTTGGGAGTGTTCCCGTGTGTGTGTATTCAAATAAAGACAAACACAGTTGTAGGGATAAATACTGGTATATTTATAAGAGGTAATTAACAACAGAGTGATTAGTAATAAGGAATGCCAGTTAGTAAGTAACAATAGCAAAAGTCTACAGTCCAACGGTATGTAATGGTAACCTGATCCTTCACACTACGCACTTACTCTCTCTAGCACTGACTTATATCGTAGAGGGATAAGTCCATTATCAGTCAGAAGGTGGGTGCGCCCCAACAGTCAGAAAAACATTTAAAGGGCCCAACATTTAGAATCTAAGTAAAGAAACAATTTAAAAAAATAAATTTATCAAAGAATCGAATTAAACTCATTTTTTTTAGAGAGAGAATGAGAGAGAGATAGAGATGTAAATTTTTTATATATATATATATATATATATATATATATATATATATATATATATCCAGGTATGATGAGAACGAATAGAGTACAATTTCAACATTCATAACATTTCATTTGAAAGAGAGATCAATATAGCATAGAGCAATATTATTTTCGGACATTACACTGAAAACATGTAAAAATCACTACACAGTTGCAGTCACCAGTAATTTACAATTGTCTAATGAAATGCAGTTGATATGCATTGAAACATGACTGCAATTGTGTAGTGATTTTACATGTTTTCAGTGTAATATCCTAATATATATATATATATATATATATATATATATATATATCTGTGTGTCTGGATAGCTAGACAGATAGTCATCTACAGACAGTTTCACTGTATCACAGCTCATCAACGTGGATAGTCATGTGATTGCTTCAAGCCAGGATTGAAACACAACCAATTTGACATCAGTCAGAGTCAATCACTCTTAGGCTATAAGTGCATGCAATGGAGAAAGAGAATTTTTAACACATTATATACAAGATATAAGCATTACTAGCTCTCAGAGTGCTCAATTCATAGTGAAGATCTCAGTGAGAGAACATTAAAAGAACAAGAATGAAGAAAACTGTAGAAAACATTGCATTTAAATTTTTGAAGATCAAAGTTTGTAGGAAGTAAGATTCCAGAAGAGATTTCCACAAGTGAGAAGTGCAATAGAAGAAACTGTTAGCATAGAACTTATGGTTAAATCTAACCATAATAAACATGGTGGTCTTAATAAGCTTGTGGGTGGGATTGGAAGATTTCCTAAAAAATATAAACAACCCTATTAACATACCTAACAGTATTTCTTTTAATCATTTCACCACAAGCAAGGCAATAAAGCCACTAAAACTCAATGGAATACTGAGTGTTAAAGTTGACATGCTGCAGTGGAATAAGGGTTAGGAATTGACAAAGTCGAACAGAGAAAAATAACATGTGTGCACAGAAAAGTAGTAAAATCTTTTATTAAATATTCAGTACAGGAGAGGTAAAAAAGGGGAGATAACAATCAGATTTTTTCAACACCCCCATAAGGTCTCATATTGCTATTTTATTTATTACCTGGCCATTTCGAACAGTGTTTGCCAATTTCTTTCTGCCATCCCATTTTGATGGGGGGAATATGGTGCTGAGGTATCATGATGACCACTGTATGTGTGTTTAAAGTTTGAGTAAAAGTCCCTTGAATTTCTCTAATTTTGCTCTAGTTGGTAGTCATATTAGCAGTTAGATAATTAATAATGTTTACACTACCATTCTGTAGAGTGTCTCAAATAAAATGATATTTAATATCAAAGTTTTTACAACTCTGTCGATGTACAGAAAGTACTATTGCACCCTGGTTATCTCCGAATATCTTTACCGGGGGATATTCTTGTAGAAAGTTCATTCTATTCAATAGTTGAATGAGGTATAGACTTTCTTGAATAAGGCCGTGTATTCAGCCTCACATGTGGATAGTGCGACTGCGGGTTGCTTCCAGGAAATAGGTGGACCATCCTTGGTTAAAGTGAAGCAATATCCGGGTGTACTACGCCTGTCGCTTTGGTCTGATGCCCAATTGGCATCACTGTATGCTATTAGTCTTAGTCTGTCATTATTCTTCCTGTAACATAGTTCATACTTTGTCGTACCTTTTATGTATCTCAGTACATGTTTGTCCAGTGTTGTTCATGTTGTTTGGATAAATATTGTGATAGCTTATTGATAATATAACTTAAATCTAGCCTAGTGCAGGTCATGAGATAAATCAAGCTGCCAATAGCTTCATGGTATTTTCTGGGGTCAATCAGGTCATCAGTGTTGGTGAAGTCCAGCTTTTGCTCACATGGTGTTGTTCTCAGGTTGCAGTCTGACATATCGAATCTCTCTTGTATTTTTATTATGCACTTTTCTTGACTCATTTGTACTAACCCTTGGGTTATGTTAAGGTTTATCCCCCAGGAAATGACAGAGTTTTTTGAGTTTCGTTCAACTTAAATTTTGACGTTATCATTTGTTTAATGTTTAGTGAGTTTATGTTGACAGCTTCAAGGATCAACTCATGATATGATTACAACTCTTTCTTTGTTATTGTGTCTAATATAGACACAGTGGTCTGTTTGATTCTGTATGAAGTCGATTCTGGTGAGACAATCATGTAGGGCTTTATTCCAGTTTCTGCCTGATTGTTTTAGATCATAATAGGATTTGTTCAACTTACAGACCAGTCTCATGTTTGTATTTGATATTAATTCAAATCCCTCTGGTTGTTCCAGGAAAATTTCATAATCAATTGGGATATGTAGGTATGCTGTTTTTATGTCCATTTGATATAATATCAGATCGTATTGTATAACCATTTGTATTAATATGCGTATGAATGTAATGTCTGCTGTTGGACAAAATGTCTCCTTATAGTTTAGGCCCTTTATTTGATTGTATTCCCTGGCAACAAATCTTGCTTTGTATTTTTGTGATCCATCTGGGTTTTTTTTTTTTAATTTTGTAAATCCATCTACCATTTATTGTCTTTTTGTCTTCAGGTAAGTTTGTCTGTTTGAAAACATTCTTCTTTAGAGATTTGATCTCTTCCTGCATTGCTTCAATCCAACAATGTGCTTTTGGGGAGTTCACAGCTTCTTTATCGGTTCGTAGCACATCACATGTAGTTCTGTAGCAGCAATCAACATTGATTAGTGCCTGGTCATTTTCGTCTTCAGCATTTGTTAT